ACCACCTTCGTCACCAACACATGGACATCATCATAGTTAACGTCGTCACCAGCAACGGCGCTGTCATTGGCCTCTGCGTCGTGATCGTCATCATCGCCACCACCACCGCCCGTGCCGACGCCATCATGATACCGCGCCCATCCGAATCACCGACCCGCACTGAAACATCCGCGCGCCAGCGCGGCCTTGGAGACGCGCTGGGGAGTTCCCATCGGTGAGCGCCGTCACAGCCGCATCGGCTGCGCCCAACCAGCTGGTCGCTCTGCGCGCGAATTTGACACAGAGAGGCGCCAACCGATGCCGAGTAGTCACCGCAATCGCGGCCACATAGGTTGTGCGAAAACAGTTGCGCGTGGGAGGATGGAATGATTGCGCGAGCAGTGGAGCTGACGACTTCAAGTTCTGCAAGCTGGATTGCACGACATTTAGTGTACCACATTGCTTGTACCACACAGCTCACCACACAACTTACACCATGTAGACTGCACCGCGCATCCTACGAGACGTAGCTTGCACCTGGTAGCTTATACCGTGCAGCTTGCACTGCACAGCTCGCACCCCGCAGCTTACATCCAACAACTTACACTACACAGCTTGCACCGCATAGCTCGCACCGCGCAGCTTGGACAACATAGTTTACTTGGCGCGCGCACAATGGAGTAGAGGGAGGGGAAGGCTTCTCAGAAGGCGGTTGCCTCCTAGAAGGCGACGACCGCCCTCCTGAGAAGCCAGGGGGTCGCCGCTTCTTAGAAACACCCTGGCAGCTGCTTCGAAGCACGGAACTGTTTCTTAGAAGCAAAGCAGCTTCTTAGAAGCAAAACAACCTCTCCTTAAACACGAGTCAAGAACAACTTCTAATAAGGGACGCCCGCGCCTTTCAAGAAGGGGGGTGCATCTGAGAAGCCTTCTCCCCTCCCGCCAACCACCTCTGCGCATGGCTGCGTTACACCACGTGCCTTGCACATCCACAATGCCATAACCTATTGTTTGGGCCCACGCTGGCAAACATGTACCCAGCCCTGCGATATCTTAACGATTTTAACATGAGGTCCAAAGAAATCCCGACCCTTTCCCCAGGGCTGGCTGTTCATCCAAGTCGTTTGTTCGACGGTCCCGAGGCCCCGCGAGGGCCACTGGAGGCCAAAACAGCAAAACAAACATTACACTGTGAATTATTATACGATGCGAGCATGTCTGGGTCGGAGGTTGGGGGGTGAGATCGCAGTGGAACGGAGACCCCCAACCGGGAAATCGTTTCGTTTCGTTCGAGTCGTGCGTGCGGGCGAGGCGAAGCTGCGTGGGCGCGCGAGAGGAATGAACCCGCCATTGCTAGGGCGAAGTCCAGAGAAATGATTCTCCCCCTCCCGCCCGTCCAGCGGTGGCTCGCGGTGTCCCGCGGTGTCCCGTGGTGTCCCGTGGTGTCCGCCGTTGCTAGGGCGAAGTCAACATAAATGATTCTCCCCCGCCCGCCCGTCCCTCCGTCCGTCCGGCGGTGGCTCGCGGTGTCCCGCGGTGTCCCGTGGTGTCCCGTGGTGTCCTGTGGTGTCCCGTGGTGTCCCGTTGAATGAGATCGATAGTGAGATCGATGTGGTGCCCCGAGGTGTCCTATGGTGTCCCGTTGAGTCAGATCGATAGTGAGATCGATCGTGAGATCGATAGTGAGATCGATGTGGTGTCCCGAGATGTCCCGTGGTGTCCTATGGTGTCCCGTGAAGTGAGATCGATAGTGAGATCGATAGTGAGACCGATAGTGAGATCGATACTAAGATCGATGTGGTGCCCCGAGGTGTCCCGTGGTGTCCCAAAAAGTGAGAACGACAATGAGATCGCTGCCGAGATCGATGTGGTGCCCCGAGATGTCCCGTGGTGTCCTATGGTGTCCCGTTGGGTGAGATCGATAGTGAGATCGATCGTGAGATCGATGGTGAGATCGATATTGAGACCGATAGTGAGATCGATACTAAGATCGATGTGGTGCCCCGAGGTGTCCCGTGGTGTCCCAAAAAGTGAGAACGATAGTGAGATCGCTGCCGAGATCGATGTGGTGCCCCGAGGTGTCCCGTGGTGTCCTATGGTGTCCCGTCGGGTGAAGTCGATAGTGAGATCGATCGTGAGATCGATAGTGAGATCGATGTGGTGTCCCGAAGTGTCCCGTGGTGTCCCGGTGAGTGAGAACGATAGTGAGATCGATAATGAGACCGATCGTGAGATCGAGAGGTGTCCCGCGGTGTTCCGTGGTGTCCCGTGGTGTCCCGTGGTGGCCCGTGGTTTCCCGTGGTGGCCCGTTGAGTGAGATCGATAATGAGATCGATACTGAGATCGACAAGTGTCCCGTGTTGTCCCGTGGTGTCCCGTTGAGTGAGATCGATAGTGAAATCGATTGAGTCAGATTTTGGTTCCCCCCCTCTCCACCCACCACAACCTCCTTATCACCCGAAGGATGGTCGTATAGGTATGTTTGTGCTACTCTTCTTCTTCTTCTTCGATCAGAAAAGGGCGGGGGATTTCAACTGGCTTCCTCACCGATCCTGTCCGGGCCCACCCCGAACACCAGGCGGCTGGTGCCGTCGCCTCGCTGGCCAAGCCAGGAGGACGTATCCGACGTGACGTGAAAATCGAAGCGGCAAGAGACACCGCGACCGAACTATCCAGTCGCGGCGTCAAGAAAGAGTCCATCTTTGCGCGGCATGTCTGGAGACAGATCGACCATCGGGCCCGAAACTGAGCAAAGATGCCTGGTGCGGCACGATCCGGGCCTGGGCCGACCCCGGGCCTGGGAAGTGCCGGAAGTGTACACCAAGTCGGCGGATCGGCCCATGAGCTCGGCATGGGGACGCCCCCCCCCCCCGCTTTTCCACCTGTGGGGTGCTGGAGCATCTATACACAGGATGCCTGCGCCGAAGTCCTGTCATCGCTCTCGCGTCCATTCCCCGTGCATTTGTCGGCTTCGTGCGCGCTTCTGCTTGCCAGATGATCCAAAAAACTCCTCGATGGTCCTCGCCGAGGAAACCATTTTTCTTGATCCGAGGGTCGAGAGCGCACCTCTTCCGGTCGAAGCTAAGCGGGCCGCGCGAAGCTTGAATTAGGCGGAGGAGAGGAAGGAGGAAGCACGCCGAGGAAAACGTGTACACGCCCGAGCGATGCCGAGAGTCCGTTGGCCCACCAGCCGACCCACAAGACGTGGTGTGCGCAGCGCGCTCCCTCCAAGGGGCTCCGGGCGGGCCCGGCGAGGATCGGCGAGGCGGGCAGCCGACGCCCCCCGAGGCGGGGGGCGGGCTCGGGGCGCCGAAGGCGGCGGAAGGCCCGCCCGCTGCGCCGGGGGGGGCGGTCGGCAGAACAGGTGGCTGACTGCATAGCAGACCACCCCAACCAAAACCCGAGGACTCAAGCTTCGGGTCAGGGGGGGGGTGCGGGTTGCACGCGTGCGTTTTTCCAATGCTCCCCGACGCCACCCCCACGGGGAATGAGGAGCACATTGGGGCCTTCGGGTTGGGTTGGGGTGGTCTGGTGGGCGGTGAACTGTGTTGCTTTTCGGGAAGACCTTCTTTTCCCCCATCGCGCCGTCATCCGTGTCAAATCTGCGTCGGGTTCTTGTCGAATATGTCGGATCCGCGTCGACTTCGAATCGCCGAATCCACGTCAACCCAGCGTCAAGCCCAGGAGAAGACAGGAGTTCACAGGACAGACTGGGCCCCCCGAATATGCAACGTGAGAAGAGGGCGGCGACATGATGTGTACCCTGAGATCCAGACGAAGCAACAACTTTGTTGGTTCGGCCTCTGGGGGCCGTTTGGCGGCTCCAAGATCGTTCAAGAACGGCTCAGAGTGAAAAGCTGGCCTCTGGGAAGGGCTCGAGATCTCGGGGAAGGTCCCGCCAAACGAACAAAAGTACAACGTCGGAGGGAGAGCGTCTGGCAACGAGGGGTCACTGAGAGCCTCTGGCGTCGTCACTGAGATCTGGGCCTTGCATTTTTCACATCAGGCGCATTCGTCTGGCTTCGGGTCCCGGGACCCTTGCGGAGCGATCAAGCTCGGGCAATGCCGCAGAAAGGTGGAGTGTTCCGGTTGCGATGTTGAAATATGCTGTATTTGTTTCGCGATGTCGGGTTTCTGCGAAGAGTCACGACGGCAAGTCTGGGGGCCCTCACCAATCCCAGGGACTGTCGAGAAACAGCTCAGGATGGAGAGCCGGTCCTCGGGACGACGGTCAGGACATGGTCCTGCAACCAAAATAGCTACGTCTGACGTCAAGGCACGAGGTGGGGAGGAGGAAAAAGCAGCGCCTCCCCTCGGCGTCGTCGGAACAAAAAAAGATCTGGGTCTTTGCGCGCTTGGAGCTGCGATTGGGCCCCTTGGGGGGCTCTGGCGGCCACGGCCGGGCCCGCCCCGCCCCTGCCCAGAGCGCCGGCGGGCCGCGAAGGTCGAGAGCCAAGGTGAAGAAGCCCGACGCGTGGGTCGCCGGTGGGTCGCTGGTGGGTCGTGGGCTGGTCGCGGGTGGGTCGAGTGCGGGTTGCGGAGAGGGTCGCGGGGCGGGCTGCGGGCTGAGCCGCCGGGTGGGTCGCGGGGCGGGGCGCGGGTGCGACGACCGATGGAAGCCACCAAAACAACGAGCGCTCGGCCCACCCGACCCGTTCTTGGTCGGGGCCGGCCGCCGTCCCCTGAGAGCCAAGTCTGCCCCCCCCCCCCCCGCCCCCACGGGCAACAAGCATACGCACACAACCACCCTGCACAACAAGCCCCCCTGCTGCAATCCTCCGTTCTACACCCTTCCATACACGCAGTGGCATCAGGGTTGAGGGGGCCGAGCGCAGGACCGCTCGGCCCCCTCAACCCTGATGAGAAAGGCGGCGAGAAGGACGGAGAAGCACACATAGGCTCAGACTCCGGAGGTCCACGGGCGTCCAACATTTAAACGTATGTGATATATGGCCTCCGACCCACGCAGACAATACGTGTAGCGGGCGCCAATTCAAATCTTGATGGCGTGCTCCTGCTATGGACTATCTTGGTGATTCGCTCGAGTATCTTCGAGAATACTCGACGACAAATTCTGGGAATATCTGGTTGCTATCGTACACCACGAACTCCCGATACGGCTTGTTGAGCTTGGATACGCGATCGCCAAGCACCGAGTGGTGATCGCCCTTGAAAACCTGCTGCTTCAAGGCCTCCTTGTTGATGTCGTTACTCGTCTGCACTTTCACGCGGCCTCCGACGACGCGGCACACGAGCATGTGAAAAGCAGTAGGGTCCTCGTCGCTCGGCTTGGCGTACTCGTCGGCCTTCGTGACGCGCTCCACGAAAGGAGGAACCACAACTTTGTGTACGGAAGAGTGGTTCGCCCTTCGCGAATTGCGTCGGCCTTCGTGACGCGCTCCGCGAAGTAGAAGCCGTCCCCGTAGAGCGGCAGCTGACCAGACCAGGTCCCTCCGCTGCGCGCTTTGGTGTGGGAGAAGCTTGTCGCGCATATGCTCACGCACGCGGGCAAGCTGGCCCCGTGGAAGAGACCCCATTCGTTTGCATCCACCTGCAGGTCCGGGAGTCCGTCCTTGAAGTGCGCGCTGGTTTCGCTCTCGACCCTGGCGGCTCCCACGCTCTCCGCGAGGACCTTACCCCTGGTAAGCACGTACTTCCCCCACAGCTCCAGGTTCTGATTTCGCCACACGCGCCTCACCTTCGACGAACGAATAGCACACAACCATACACATCGGGGGGTCGGAGGGAGGCGGACTGGCTGTGGGTGTGAGTGCGGGTTGCCGGACCCCGGGGGAGGCCCCCTCTCGAGCGGGGGCCCCCGTCCGACAACACGCACCCATGGCCCCCTCGGTCCCCCTTCTAGGTGTGGGTGCGTGCTGTTCGCTCGTCAGCCTTGTAGCCGCAGGGCACGGCGACCTGGTTGCTGTGCGAGCAGCTCAAGGGGCAGTGGTGCACGCCATGCCTCTTGCACCCTCGGTCCTGCGTCCAATTGCAGGTGCGCTTGTGGGTGGCATCCAGCAGGCACTGCACCTGGAGGGAAACACAACGATGACCATGACCAAGACTGCACGCGGAAACGTCGGTGCCAATCTTGGTCCTCGCCCATCTTGGTCATCGCCAGCTCGTGGATCATCCTCGCGAATCGGTGACGGCCAACATGGAGCATGACCAAAATCGGCGTCGACGAGGTCCCGCAACATCTTGATGATGGTCATTGTGGTCCTTCCCTCGACGCACCGCGCGCAACACGCTGTCGTCCGATACCTCCGCCAGGCCTGCGCCACTGCCGTGCGGCCACGGCGGGGGGTTCGCGGCGGAACTCGTGGCGTGGCCCATGCCCGTGCTGGCAGCCCTGGACAGGTGGAGGCTCCGCTTGTGTCCGCAGCAGGCGCAGAACGTGCACCCCGACCCTTCCTCCTGGGCACGGACGGGACTCAGCTTGGCGGAGGAAGATCGGCGCAAACTAAACTTGCCCACCATCCGGGACGTCTGTCCCAGGGCGGCCAAAACATTTAGGCACCTGCGGTGGCGCGTCGGGGTGCCAACTTTCCAGCCGCCCTTGCGCAGGCGTGCCCAACGGTGCAAACAACTGTTTTGAAAACTGCTCGCCGCCCGTGAAAAAAGTGGAGGGGGGTAGACGAATCGGCGAGCGCAGCTAGGCGCCAAAGACACCGAGAAAGGCGCCCTGCGGCGGGGCCGAACGATTTTGTGACCCCCCGGCTTTCCCGTAACCGCTGCCTGGAGGATCGACCTTCGGGAACCTCGGTAGGCGGTGGAGATGGTTATACTTGGCACCCGCATGGCCGAATATGCCCAGCCTGCAACATATCCGTATCCCCATGCTTGACATCGCCTTATCGCGATGCCGAAATTAAGGACCCCCTCAATTTCTGATAGCGCATCCCTGAGATTGTCATCGTCTTTGCACTTGCCAGATCTCAAGGGTAGGGATGCGATCGAGGCTTGTTCTGCATGTCTGCATCTAGATTGTCAGAAGTCGTGTAAATCTACACGCCTAAGTATATTCGTTCGTCTATTCTTTTTCATGTATTTTAACGATCCAAGAACTGCGCCCCCCAAGAAAAAAAACGGGATCCGCAGCGTCTAGGGCTCCTGGACGCCCCCATCTGAAGGTTCCGAAAACATTCTGGGACTTTGGAAGCCCCTGCCGAGCCGCGCAAAAACGTCAGCGGCGGCCCCAGGAACCCCCCAAGACTGCCCAAGATGGTCTCCACCGGTCCCGGATCCCAGCCAGACGCCCGAAGACGGCCAAAATATCACACCCAAGTGGGTTTCGAAACGCAGAAAACATTGATTGTCCGTTGGTTGTCATGCGATTTTCGGTTATTCGGTTATTCGGTTTTCCGCGCGTCCGAGAACGCTCGAGAGGCACCGAAAATCGCCCCCAGACGAACAAACGTTGCTTCCTGACACTCTAAGAGAGCCCCAAGACGGCCCAAGATAGTTCAGAAAATGCCTACAGGGGGGCCCCGCGACGTCCCAAAATTGTTCCAAGACGCCCTCCAGAAGCATTCAAACCGAGACTCGAGACCAGACCACGGCCCGCGGCATAACGACCCGAGGACCCCCCCAGAGGCCGCCAAAAGAAGCCAGGGACGTCTCCAGAAGCGCCCAAGAAGCCCCGAAAAAGCTTTCGCAAGGGTCTCCAGAAGCTCGCATCGGAGGGGCCTTCGCAAACAAATCTGAGGAGGACGGGGAAGGGTCCGCGGGGCAACTAAGGCGAGAACGACGAAGAGGAAGAGGACACCTGAGGGAAGGAAAAGGAACACCAACATGATAACGGTGATGGCGAAAACTGCAACCAAGAGCGGCCGCGGTTTTGATTGATCGACCTCTCTCCTTCTCATTATGCCTGCATGCCAGACGTGAAGAAACAAGGTGCACGGCGCGAAACGCCAATGCATACATTGGCACATGTATACAGATAGGTGAATGTGTATGTATCCACACATGTATATATACACATATCTATATATAGATGTATAGATATATGCATAGGAACAGACATTTCTTTGCGTGTATGTGTGTACGCCCGCCCCGCCAGCATCATACATGTCGCCTTTTGTTCGGCGCCGACTTTCAATTCTCTCTTCCTGAAGCCTCCCCCCATCCGCTCTCCATGGCTCGCCTGCATCTACCTCCTCCCAGCCCCCGCTTCAGGCGCGAGCTTGAAGCGCGAGCTAGAAGCGCGCAACCGGTTCCCTTCAGCAACCGCGCGCGCCGCATCATGGCGGTGGGGGCGCGCGCGGCCGCTCAACGGCTGCGCGCGGCAGCGGAGGGGCACCGCAAGCATTGCTCCCGATGTTCGGACAGTTCGGGGCAGCATTCACCCCTCAGGCCCTCTGCACTCCGCGCCACGCCGAGTCGGATGCTCCGCCGCGTGCCGTGCTGTGTCGGGTGCCGTGCCGTGTGCCGTGTGCCGTGCGCCGTGCGCCGTGCGCCGTGCGCCGTGCCGTGCCGAGTGCTCTGCCGCGCACCGTGATGGGTTGGGGGCTGCGCCGTGCGCTAAGTGCCGCGCGCCGTGGCGAGTGCTGCGTGGCCCGGCATCTCGCGATCCCGCAGGAGGCGTTCCAACCAGCGCGCGCGAGCGCGCCGCCACAACTGAAAGGGAGTACAGCAAGGAATGGCTGCGGACTGCGCAACTGTTTCCACTTTCGTTGGCTCCTTGGGGGGTCCAGTGGGGTCGGGAGCCACGCGGACCCAGACGAGACCTCACTGCTCCCTGGGTGGCTACGAACTGCGCGACTGTCACCACTTTCGTGAGCTCCTGGGAGGCCCAGCGGAGTCGGGGGGGCACGCGTACCCAGACGGGACCCCGCTGCTCCCTGGGAGGCTGCGGGCTCTTGGGAAGTTCAGCGGAATCCCGGACGGGACCTCGCTGCTCCCTGGGAGGCTGCGGACTGCGAAACTGTCACCACTTTCGTGGGCTCTTGGGAGGTCCAGCGGGGTCGGGGGCTACGCGGATCCAGACGAGACCTCGCTGCCCCCCTGGTATGCTGCGAACTGCGCAGCTGTCACCACTTTCGTTGGCTCCTGGGAGGTCTAGTGGAGGTGGGGGCACGCTGACACAGACGGGACCCCGCTGCTCCCTGGGAGGCTGCGAGCTGCGACACTGTGTCCACTTTCGTGGGCTCCTGGGAGGTTCAGCGGAGTCGGGAAGCACGGGACCTCGCTACTCCCTGGTAGGCTACGGACTGCGAAGCTGTCGCCACTTTCGTGGGCTCCTCGGAGGTCCAGCGGAGTCGGGAGCCACGCGGATCCAGCCGAGACCTTGCGGTTCCCTGGGGGGCGAAGGCGTGCGCAACTGTCGCCGATTTCGTGGGCTCCGGAAGCACGACGAAGAGGGCAGCGCAGATCGTGCATATCTGACGATGTGTTCATTGGCATGGAGCGTTAATGCAAATACTCTCGTGGAGATAGGATTTGACACGTCTCGGGTAATGTTGATGCATTCTCCAAATAGGCCTGCCCTAAAGAAGTCCTAGCTCATCATAAGAAATTTGTCTTTAGCCCACCCCCTTTTTCCAATGGCACTTGCTTGTTTGCTCTTGCGTGTTTGCTCTCGCTTGCTTGCTCTTGCTTGCCCTTGGTTGCTTGCACTTGATCGCTGGTTATTGCGTGCTTGTTATTGCTCGCTTGCGCTTGCTTTCTTCCGCTTGCTTGCTTGCGCTTGCTTGATTTTTCTCCTCCCGTCCTCCTCCCGTCCTGCTCCCGTCCTCCTTTCGTCCTCCTCCCATCCTCCTCCCGTCCTCCTCCTGTCCTCCTATCTATTCGGAGTCAACGCTCGCTGCTATTCACGTTATTGTGAACAGGAAGAGAAGGAGGGGGCCATTCGAAGCAGGGAGAGGAGGATGTTGAGCGCGGAAGGGGGGCCAGGAGAGGGAGACCACTAATCATACAAATACTTGCGCCACGAAGAATCATAACAGTTCCAAGGCGACAGGTATGATACTGGGGGGAGACCATACACACACGCGATACATATCTATACATATATATATATATATATGTGTGTGTGTGGGCACCGAGTGTGCGTGTCCTCAAGTCCTTTACGCAATCCTCTGAACCTCAAGCTTCACTCCTGAAGAGTCTTCACGGGGCCCGACCCCGAGTTCTCCAATGTAGCCGGGCTTGTCGCGTCTTGTCGCTTGACTTCTTTCGGAGCCGAGAGGGCCCCAACACGGGCCAACAACGGTCCAAGAGGGCCACACGAGTCGCCGAACGGTCGCTCCAAGACGCTCAAGACGGCCCCCAGACAGCCCAAGAGGCCTCCAAGAGGCTCCCAAGAGGCTCCCAAGAGGCTCCCAAGAGGGCCCCGAGACGTCAAAACCATTGACTTCCCATATGTTGTTTGAAGGATTTCGGAGTTATCACTTTTTCGGCTTCCCGACGCTTCAAAACGGCCCACGAGGCCCCCAAGATCGCCCGAAGACGGCCCCAGAAGCCCCCAACAGGGCCTCAAGCCGGCCCAAAAGGGCCCCAAGAAGGCTCAAGAGGCGCCCAAGACAGCCCGAAGGGGCCCAAAGACGGCATCAGGAGGTGGCCCAGAGTCGTCGAAAGTTTATGTTGATGCAGTCGTTCTTCTTCGATCTGTTCAAATCAACTGCTAGGTCGGGCATGTCCTCCTACAGGCGGATTTTGGACGGAAAATGAAAAATAGTCAAAACATATTCCCCAAAGTGCCGAAAATTGGAAAAATCGTACCCATACAATTTTTGACTATTTTTGAACGTTCCTCCTGTAGAGGGACAGACCCGACTGGAATCAACTGCGCGCCGAGGCCCCCGAAGATCGATCCACAGGCAGTGGTGATGGACAAAAAACCCGCCTCGGAGCTCCGTTCGGCCCCGTCCTCGGTGGGCCCCGTGGCCTTCCTCTCCTCGAACTTCGCGCAGCCGCAGCCCCTGAAGTGGCACATCGGGGCGTCCCTGCCAGAGCCGAGGCCCACGGGGAGGTCCACCCCCATCCTCACACCAGGCAGTGGCGGGACTGGATTCGTGGGACTTGGCTTAGTGATGTGTGCTTGGGGACGCCCCCCCGTATGATTTTAGGAGGCAGCTGCTGGGAGGTTTTCGTCGGAAGGATTAAAAAGGATTGTGAGCTCAATTGGGGGGCTGTTACGCCAGAGTGGGCATCGGATCAAGCGGGATTCAGCGGGATTAAACGGGATTAAGCCGAATTCAGCGGGATTAAGCCGAATTTCGGACCAAGGCAAAGTCAGAATTTGACCTCCCAGGAGTTGCATCCGAGCTTGGGGACACCTCCCCCGTATCGTTCCACGGAGCGGAACTCTGGTCACCCGAAAAAGAACAGCTACAGCAGACCCGGCTCAACGATGCTGATGTTTCGTGGGGCTCAGGGGCACAGTCCTGCCCGGCGCCCCTTACCAGGGGTCCTGGCTGGATCCGATCGCGGGAGGACCAGAAACTGACCACGCGAGCGTAAACTTTTGGAGGTCCGCTCCTCCTAAGGGGAACGGCGAAACGGCAAGACCAAGATAGACAAACGCGTTCCCCTACTCGCGAAAGAGCGACTCGCAACTACAAACCTACATGCATGATCATATACATCCATAGCACCATACATACGTACGTACGTACGTACATACATACAAACGTACGTACGTACGTACGTACGTACATACATACATACATTCCATTCCATTCCATTCCATTCCATTCCATTCCATTCCATTCCATTCCATTCCATTCCATTCCATTCCATTCCATTACATACATACATACATACATACATACATACATACATACATACATACACACATACATACATACATACATACATACATACATACATACATACACACATACATACATACATACATACATACATACATACATACATACATACATACATACATACATACATAAATACATACATACATACATACATACATACATACATACACACATACATGCATGCATGCATGCATGCATGCATGCATGCATACATACATACATACATACACTCATTCATACATGGCAATACACACATCTATATGTACATACATACAAATATACACATGCATACCTATACATGTGTATACATATGTATAAGTGTATATATGTGTGTGTGAATTGTTACATCGAGGCGAACACACATTTGTCAAACAGTTGCGAATGGGTACGTTGCGAGTAGTGGAGCGCGCTCGGTGACAAGACGCAAAGCTGTTGACCGTCTTCAGCCTCTGGAGGCCATTGCCCGGCCCTAGGTCTGCGGAGCGACGACGCGGGAGGAACGAAATCAGTCCCAGGGAAAGATCCAGATCTCCGGGGGTCGCGTTGTGCAAGAAAATCGCGGCGTTGGAGTTCTGGGGCGCATGAACTCTCGGAGGTCCGCGCGGAGCTCATGGGTCGGCGCGCACCCCCAGGGCGATCTGCGCTGTTCGGCCGCTGGCCCGCGGCGGCTTCCTGGGTCGGCGTGGATTTTTTTGTTCGCGCGGCCCACCCTGGCGCGCGAAGCGCGCCAGAGAGGGCCCGGCGCCGACACAAGGGACCCGCGCGAAGCTGCGACCGTGGACCATGTGCAAGTCATGTCTGCGTCATGTCGGCTTCGTCGTCAGTTTCTGGCATCGCGTGGATCGGATCGCTGCTTGCCGATCGTGGGGATCGCTCGATGTCGACCGATTCTGGGCCAGTGGCGGCGTTCAGCCTTGAAGAAAGCCCGCGCTGGAGTCGCCGCAGGTTCGGCGCGGCGCGAACCTTCGGTATGGTCAAGACGCCGAAAAAAGGACCACTTGGGGCTCGGGAGGGGCTCTGTTTGTCAAGCCGCTTCTCGGACCTGGGGTCCGTGGACGTGTTCGTGGCCGGGGTTCGCCGCGGCCAGAAGCAACCCGTCGTTCCCGATCGAGCTTCAGATATTATGGCTCGCGGCGAGGACAAAAGCGTTAGGGGGAGACAGGCTCAGCGGGAAGACCGGGGAACACCGATCTGGAATCGGCGGAGCATCGCCGATATATGGGCGATGCGCCCCCGATCGCGACACCGCGCCTCCCTGGGCGGGGTGGGCTATCGGGACCCTGCCGGCGATGAACGGGCGATTGGGGTTGGACGCGTCCCCCCTGGAGCCCGTCCCCCCCCCCTAAATGCAGCCCCTGAGGTGGCACGATGACTGAATGCAGATTATTGCAGCCCTTCTCCTGGACAGCGCCCCGCTCGCCCATCCGTGGAACTGGGCAAAGCTGAGGTACCTGAGGAGGCAGCCTCTGCGAGGCCTCCGTGAGAACGCTTCAAAGCTATCCAGCCTCACTGGAGGGTGGTCAAGCGGATTCGGCCTGATCCGGGGTTACGCCGACATCCTGCATCCTCCGCCGAGCTCTTCTGCTCCGCGAGAGGGTGTCACGGATATATGCCAGCCTCGATGCTGAACCAAGAGGCCCCCAAGAAGCCACAAGAGGCCCCCAAGCGGCCCCCAAGAGGCCCCCAAGAGGCCCCGAAAGGGCCCCCAAGAGGCCTCAAAACTGCCTCCAGGAGGCCCCCGAGAGGCCGCCCACGAAATTCCCACGTACACCCACCAGGCTTACAACACGCAACCCGGGCACAGTGGCAGGGCTTGCCGTAGGCAGCGGAATCTGCCAGCGCCGCTGCTGAGCTTGGACCCAAAGCCTCTCCGGAGGAGTTGCCACCCACAGGGCACCCGGTGGCCTGGCCGCCGGCCGCCTCCCAGGCCGCCTCCTCGCCGGCGGGGTCGGCGGCGTCCGCTGGCGGCCCGCCTGCGCCGAGCGGGCCGCCGCCGCCCGCTCGCTGCTCGCCCGCCGGCTCCGCCGAGGCGCCGCCGCTCCGCCGCCGGCTCGCCAGGAAGGCCGCCGCCCGGAAGACCGAGGAGAACTCGCCGCGGGTCAGGTAGCCCGACCTGTCCAGGATCCGTCGGCGATCGGATCGGGGAAGAGACGTGGAGGGGAAAACGTGCGCCGGATCGGGCCGCGTCGGGATCACGGCGGATCGGCCGTGCCACGACGCACAACAGCGCCATGCAGGGGCAACATCGGATGGCCCGAAAACCAAAGTCGAGTCGTATCGAGCCGGGCGGAATCGGTATCTCGTCGGATCGATCGAGCCGAAATGGGCCCTGCCTGTCCGGGTTGAAGAAGGTGAACACCTCCCACAACGTCTTCAGGTCGGGCTCGACACCCACCGGGAACACCACCAGGCCGAGCCGGTAGTCCAGGTCGCCTGGGTGTGCTGCACTCTGATGGTGCTCGAGGGACCTGTTCATGCAGTTCCGGCCGTTCGGGCACGCCCTCTTGGGCCTGTCTTCGCTCATCTGCGCCACAATGGTGTCGCGCAGCCCATCCTTCTTCGTGAAACTTCCGTATGTTACCACATCCAGATCGCCTTCCACAAGATTGCACCACGTGGCCTCCACGATTTTCTCCATCGGGTCGCGAGGCTGGGAAGGAAAATAGCGAACTAGAGCATCGATGACCTGATCCTTGCGCAATCCCTTGTTATCTGGATCGAAAAAACGGAACCAAGTCTCGGGATACAACTCCAACTTTGGCAACGGCACCGCTGAGGGCACGATGACGATGCGAACGCGCCCGTCCTCCTCGAGATGCTGCAGCCTCCACTCTGCCTTCAGCTCATCGGAGCTTGGGCACACAATCAACTTGCCATTGACAACCTGGACAACCTGGGATTCGATCTTGCTGACTAACTTACACAGCCCGGTCCTGCTGTCTGGTTGCAGTCGCCAATGGCTGCAACCTGGCAACCGACGGTCTATGGAGTCCGTGGGCCCAGCCCGGACCTGGCCGTGCTCGACGTCAACGTACAGCTTCCAACCGCTCCTCGACGCGCTGGAGAGACAGAAGTGCCCGCCGCTGGCCTCCTCCCTGTACCAGCTCGCGCTGGGCGAGCCGATGCTCGCCTGCCCCAGCTCTACCGCCGCATCCTCCAGAACGATGCACCTGGGGAAACCCAACGGGGTGCTCGCCGACCAGACTTTCGAAGCGAATCCAGCCAACACAACGACGGCCTCACAAGGGGCCCAGGGGAGCGGCATCGGTACCTCTTGCCCCCCTGCGCACCAGGCCCACGCGTGCTCCGTTGCAAACAGGTCCCGGACCGCCTCGAGCGACTCGCACACCGCCTCCTCGCCGCCCAGCGCCACGCGGACAGGCCGCCACCTCGGCCCGCGGCCCTGCTCCTGCTGGAGGTCGGCGACCATGCGAAGAAAGAAAACGGCACGAGCAGAAACCGTCACTAACGGGCGAAGAGCGGTATGAAAAGTAACTTGTTCGCTGTCGGGGGCGCCTGTCCCAGGGCGGCTGCCGCCCAGGGGCAGGCGCCCCCGACGGCGGAAAAGCTGATGTTCCACCGCTCTCCGCCCGCTGACCGTAGGAGGCCCACGCGCACTTCTTGGGTTGGCACTGGGCCCCGCGGCGCCCGAGGAGCCGCCGGGAAGGCCCGGCGCCGGTCCACGAAGGTCCGCGCGGGCCCCCGGCAGGGGGTGCTCGTGCCGGCTTCCGTCTTCCAGATCAGGGCGCGCTCGTCCATCTGCCGGCTCCACCTGCGGGGACGGAGAAGGACAATACCAGGATCGCTCCGCCCCCGTGGCAGGCGCACGTGCCAGCCAGAGGTGTGGCGCACACAGCTTGTCGTGCACTGGACGGTTGCCCCGGCGGTCTGGACAGAGCGCGCGCACCACTGGGGCACAGACCGTGCGATTCCCGAGCGCGCCCGTCGCCCCTGGGGGGATGGCGCACACAGACGGAGGGGGCACTGGATAAGGAAACCTCAGATAAATAATCCAGGGTCTGCAAGCCGGCGGAACACCAATTCATGCTTGGCCACGGAAGTCACCGTCGCCCTCATCAGATAAGGAATCCGCCAGGGACTGAAGCCCCACGTGCACGTTCCTGAACGCACGCCTGGACCGTAGCACACCTACGCTTAGGCGATACCGGCCTGAGTCCGTTCACGCGGGCCACGGCCCACAGGTCGGCGTACATCCAGCAGGCCTTCCGGGCTGCATCAGCTGGCCGACCCGGGCCGCCCGCGGCGCTCGAGGCAGGGCCCTCGCGCCCCACCTGTGGGAAGGACAGGAGGGCCACGCGCACACAACCCGCCGCCAGGCAAGCGAAGCCCCTTACAACCCTGAGATCCTGGCGTTTCCCAACCATCCTGGTGTGTTGGGTCCTGGCTTTGAAGAGACACCGCCCCGCGTCCTCCTCTTTCCTCCTCCCCCTCCCTCCTCCCATGCCTGCCTCTGCTCTCAGCACGTCAACCAGCTCGGCACACCTCGAAAAGGCTGCTTGTGCCCATAGAGAGCTCCACTGGCGACGTTCGCATGTGGGCGTCACGCCCGTTCCGGCAAAGCCTGCACACGTTCCGTGGCCTCATAGGGATCTCCACCTAAGGTCCAAGTGGCGACGCTCGCACGCGAGCGTCACGCCCGTTTCGGCACAGCCCGCACACGCTTCGTGGCCACATAGGGAGCTGAACATAATGCCCCAATGATGACGTTCGCATGTGGGCGTCACGCCCATTGTGGCACACCCCTCACACGTCTCGTGGCCCCAAACAGCAGCAGTGGCGAGGTTCGCATGTTGGCGTCAACCACCATTTCGGCACGCGACTCACGCGTTTCGTGACCCCATGGTGAATTCCACAGAAGGCCCCAATGGCGACGTTCGCATATGGGCGTCACGCCCGTTTCGGCACGCACACACACACACACACACACACACACACACGCGCACACACACACACACACACATTGCGCGCTTCGTGGTCCCATAGGGGGCTCCCAGTGGCTCAGTTCGCATGCGGCTGCCGCGCCCCTCACCCATTTCGCGGCCCCCCCAGAGAGCTCCGCCGAAACCCCAATGGACTGATCTGCATGAGGCCCCCGTCGCCCCCCTCCCTATTTCGGCGTGTCTCTTGCGCGCTCCCTGGACCTATGGGGAAATCCACCGAACACAATATTCACGTTGCGGTACTCACACCTGCATACGGTTGGGTCCTTCGCCAGGATCTGTTTTTCACAGCGGGCGTGTTCGCCCAGTTTGGGGGCCCTGGGACCCTCACGGCTCGATCCTTTTCTAAAAATGCAACAGAAAAATTGGGTCTAGGGTTCCAGCAGTGTTGTTCCCCAATCAGCGCTTGCACTGAAGGGGTCCTAGGGATGTTCCCCAATCAGTGCTTGCACTGAAGGGGTCCTAGCGGATGTTGAAAAGTTTGGCGAGAATTGCGACCGGTGTCAAACGGCTGCCGGGTTCCCGGGTTCCCGCGTTCTTGGTTTCGGGTTCCCGGGTTACCGGTTGTTGGTTGCGGGCCGATTTCGGTGGGCGGCGAGGTTCCCGGATGTTCGGGTTCCTGGTCGATCTCCTCATCGATCGGTCTCACAATCGATCTATCAATATCACTGCGAATTTCACAGCCGATCTTATTATAAATCGCAAGGGTTTGTTCGGGGCGTCTTGGGGGGGCCTTTTGGACCTTCTTGGAGCTACTAGGGTTTCTTTGGTTGGGGCGCTTGGGGGGTCTCTTAAATAGTCGTGGGGCCATATGGAGCCGTCTTGGAGCGCTCTTTGGCCGCTTTGGAACCGCATTGGGCCTCTGTGGGGCCGTATTGGGCGCTCGGGGTGGTCGAACATCGTTCGGGGGGGAGGGTTGGCGGCCTTGTTATAGTTGTGTAGATAAAGATATCTTAGAAAACATACACATACCAATGCACACACAATTACACACATAAACATATGTGTGTGTTTCTGCACACACGTGTGTGTATATGCATAGGTGTGTGTGTGTGTGTGCGTGTGTGTGTGTGCGTGTATGCTCGCCCCCCACCGGGTGATCATACATGTTGCCTGGTGGCTGGCGGTTCCTACTTATCCCCTTCTTCCATCGCCACCCCAACCCTTGTCAGATCTCCAGGTCTCATCCTCATTGCTCGCTTCCGCCCCCGTCCCTGTTCCCCGTCTGCTTCTTCTTCTTCCTGCAGCTCCTGCTGCGGATCATATTGCAACACGTAGTAGAGTTTCCAGACAGCTCATAGTCTAACTCCTACTACAAACCATATTATAGCCAGCACTGCAGCTTCCACTGCAGTTTGCAGCGCAACTCCTGCCAAAGCTATGTATGCAGATCCTGGCTATGCGCTCATTACAGCCTCCAACGACAACTCCTACCACAACCGAAAACGCAGATCCCACTACAACTCCTACGGAAATTCCGTCTACAGTCCCGTACAGCTTCCAATCCACTTCACAATACAGCTCCAACCAACTATTGACACAGTTCCTGCGACAACGTCTACAGCAACTCTGCGACACCCTGGCTACACCTCGCGTTGCAGAGCCGATAGCACAGGTCCCACTGCAACTTCTACATCAATAAAGCTCTGTCCATCTTGCTACAGCCCCAGCACCATCTTCTACGAGTGCCACTCGCACCGCTCCGATGTCGGTTCAACATACACGGCATAGTCCATATCCGGATGCAACTCGTACTGGAAGTACCCATGCATCAGAAAACACAACTCCCCCTCCTACTAACAACTCACCACGCATAATACTACTACCTGGGCATCAGTACCCTTACACACTCAAACGTCCGGCTTCTATTGCAGGGCAACGTTAACTACAACTCCTGCTGTAAACCCGACTACAACTTGTGTGACACGTCCTACGACGTATCCCCATGCAGCTCCCGCTGCAATGCCCAAAACCAAGGTTGATCCTACACAGGCGTCCAACGCTGACCACCCGAGAGGACCCGAGCAAACAAGAACATTACTACAAACGCCAATACCGACCTCAACGCATATCCCAGTGCAGCTCAACGTGCAGCCCCTAGCGACGTCCGCAGCACAATTCCCAATAGAGTTCCTCCTGCAACTACTGCAACGTATTAGAAATCTAAGAATGCTACATTAATGCAGCTCGTACTACAACTTGTTGACACGGGCACTAACACAGCTCCAATTGAAATCCCGTTTGCAACTGCTTTCACACGTGCCACTGCAACTCACACTTGTGCCTCCCACTGCTGCTCCTGCCGGAGACCGCAACAGAGCTCCGGCTACAGCCGTTAACAGCTGCTCCTAAACAACTCGGACTACAAGTCAGACTACGATCCTTAAAACACATGTTTTGCATGGCTACAACTCCAACATTAGCTCCCTGACACAGCCACTGGTACAACTTTCACGAAACCTCTTGCCACTACTCCAACTCGATTGAACTGCACAAATCTGACGACACGTCCGAATTCGGCTCTTACCGCAATCTCAACTACATCCATACAAACAATCTTAAAACCAGTTCCGACGAAGGCGCACACCAAAGTCCCACTTGTAACTAATAGTACGGTCCCCAATGCTGCTGCCAATGCATCTGCCCACCAGGAGAGTACTGCTGTTATTCGTGCACCCAAGAGTACAGCTCGCACTGAAGTTCCTTCTGCAGAGTCTACTGCGTATCTTACGACAATTCCTACTACACTTCGTTGACACAGCCATCAGGGCAGTCCCAAGTGCAAATCCTACTATAATCCGTGGCGCAGCTCCCATTAGACATCGCACAGATGGCTCCCCTACAAGTCTTGGAAAAGGCCGTACCACGGTTCTTCCTTTAAAGTTTCTACTGCAGTCTCAGCACTGCTCTTACTACACCGATAGCTATAGCTCTTACTTCGGATCTTACCACAGCCCGTAGTACAGCTCCCCCTACATGTGGTATTCCAGCTTTCAACGCAGCTCCTCCTGCACTTCCTTTGGCGAGGAGGACGACGACGAGGATCGCCAGGAGGTGGAGAAGGAAGAGGATAGTAAGGACGACAAGGAGGACGAGAAGGGAGAGGAGAACGAGGGGGAACATGAGGATGAGGCTGAGGAAGAGGAGGTAAGGGGGGGAACGACAAGGATGGGGGCGATAATAACAATGAGGATAGAAAAGGGGGACTATAAGGAAAACGACAAATGATTACCCCTTCTCTTCGTCGTGCTCCTCCGGCTCTTATTCCTCCACACCTTCTCCTTCTCCTCGTCTTTCTCCCCCCTCCCCTCCCTCCCCCTCCTCTTCCTCCTCCTCCCTCTGATCTAGCGGGGCCCGAGTAGCACCAAACACAACGATTTCCATGCTTCATGTGTTTTGATCTCGCGCACGGACAATCACAACCATGTGAGCAACGAGATCAGCTGTATGGGAGAGTAGTGGACGCAGGACAGAGGGTGATGGGAGGAAAGGGAGGCATGGGGAATAGAGGGAGGGACACGGAGAGGGAGAGAGAAGGAGAGACACACGGCATTTGAGAACTATTGCGTTTTCAATCTTACCTTATCATGCAACTGGGAACATATGGGTGTTCAGGCTTTGTCGCGTTTTCTATGTTTGTCACAGCTCTGGAAGGACGATATCTATACATATATATATATATACACATGCGTTTGGGCCTTTTCCAATGCTTGAGCATTTCTGCAGAGTCTATCCAGTCTGCGCAGTCTCTGAAGGACATCGGGAACATCTGGAGCAACAAATCTGAAAACCAAACGCCAAATATGTTTCAGTCGCAGGATCTGGGAAGCCTGAAAAACACACGGATGTTCAAATGCCGCATGTCTTCCTCCTCCCCTCCCCTCTCCTCCTTCCCTTCCTTCAACAGCAGGCGGAGGACGAGGAGGAGGCGGAAACAGAGGAGGAGAAGCAGGAGAGGACGCAAGAGAAGACCGATCATGAAGAGTCAGAACCCGCATGCATGATCAAGTGTGGGGGCAGCCAGGATGCGGTATGTGCAGACATTTACACACACGCGCATCAATATAAACGCATCTGGATCTAATGACATCGTTCGCTTCCCAACGGGGCGCTGCGACCCCCCCCCCGGCAATTCTTAATCGCTTGGTCGCTTCACGATACGAAATCTGGCTATCAGAAATCTCGGAGCACATTCTTCGTCGATCTTTTGGGGTCCCAGGCGTGCCCCAGAGCTTCTGTGGCCCCCCCCAAGGTTCTTGGGGGGACGACGAACTTCCATAAGACACCTGCTTCCAGGCCTGTCTCGAGGAAGGAATCGGACAGAGCAGGACTGCCCCGCAAGCGCACAAGTCCGGTCAGAAAACGCTAGTCATAGGGATCGTGGTGGCTCCAGCTTTCCCTGACATCCACCGGTGTACGTTTTTTAATCGATGCACGTTTTTTTAATCCGCGGCCCAAGAGGCCTGGACCCCATACCCGAGGCAAGTGTTCCGCCCCGGATCCGTTTATGATTGAAACAACCGCTTGAAACAAATCATCTCGCCAGAGATCCAGGCACTGATGGGGTCCTTCCTCAAGCCGCTCGCTCCACTCATGCGCCGATGCTGCGTCGAAGGTCCGTCGACTTGATTGAGTCGAATCTGGGTCGAACTGGAGTCAACCCTGAGTCAAACTAAAACATCCGCCAAGTGGACCCAGGAATAAAGAGCAGAAACAACACCCTAATAATAAGCACCCCGAAAAATGAAGCCGCTGGGTAAACGCATTCAAGGATGACGTCGAACAGAACAGGGCTACTTGGAAAAAAACAGGCCGTTTAGTAAACGTTGGGGGTCGAGGTGGTTTTCCTTCCCTAGAAAGAAACCCCCCAAAACGAACATCTGATCAATCTTTATTCTCTTGGCCACCACGTCCTCGGTGCAGCCACACCATGTGAGAGTGGGCCCCGCGGCCCGGCTGAGCTCGGAGTGCGAGACGGCCCCTCCGCGCGGGGCCCCTGGCGACGCCGACGACGATGACGACGCCGTCGGCGCGTCCCCCTGCCGCAGCAGCACCTCGCACGCCCTGCGCATACCAGGAAAGAGAAGAAAAAGGCCTGAGGGGAACGAGTCCTGGACCGCGGGGCCTTCCGTCCCAGGACATGCCCCCGTCGTGCTGCTGATGAGGATGAGGAGGAGGAGGAGGAGGAGGAGGAGGAGGAGGATAATGATAATGACGACGGTGCTGATGATGGTGGAGATGATGCTGATTGTGAGGAGGAAGAGGAGGGGGAAGAGGAGGAGGAGAAGGAGGAGGTGGAGCGTAACCGAAGGAGGAGGAGAAGGAGGAGGAGGAGGAGGAGGATTATGATGGTCTCCTATCTTCGGGCCTCGGGGGGGCCCTCGCCGGGCCCCAGGGCCTCACAGAAGCGATTCGGGATGCAGAGCCAGCCCTGGGGAAGGACTTTCCGGGGATCATGTGTTCGCATGTCTGGGCTGAGAGCTCCTGACGTCGAATTTGTTCCGCAACGGGCGACTTTGGCATGTTTCGGGCCCTGGGGCCCGCATCGATCCGGCGAAAAGCCACAGAAAGATTGGGGCCCAAGCCTTCGCCGAGTACGTCTCGCGAGTCGTTTTGTGATGGTCCCAGGGGCCTGGGGAGGGCCCCGGGAGCCCGAAACTGCGAAAGACCTCGGGACCGTTTCCCTCAGGGCACCCCTTCCCTTCATGGCGACCTGCTCTCGTCCCCGCCGCAGCTGCGCAAGGCCTCCCTGATCTCCGCCCTGGTGCGCGCCCCCGAGAACATCACCTCGCGGGGGCGTCCAAGTGGGGGACGTCCAAGACGGGGGCTGGTATCGCGAAACATGATCCGAGGCACGTGCGCGGCTCTTTGGGGGGGCCAGAGGGCGCCATGACATCTGAGAGACATTATGGCCTCGGCCATAATTCGAGCAGGGGATCGACTACAGAGTTGATTTACCCCCAAGTTCATTTGTCCGCCGAATCTGCGACAGGTGCGCATAATGCCCCGTAGGTGTGGACATTACACGCGATTTTGTTGCATTCGGCGGGGGAACACATGAGTAAATCAAGTCAATCGTCGACCCCAGATTCTCGGGAAGCCAAAAGGCACCCATACCGCTATTCCCCAGACCAGAATTTCAAAGCGAATCCAACGGTAGCGACGAGGGCTTCCCAGAAGGCCCAACAAGGGGAAACCAGGCGAGGGGCAGCGGTGTGGGTACCTGCTCCTCCTCGGATATTCGAATGAGGTCCCCCCCCCTCCTGGCCGGCCCTGACACCTCAAGGCAAGAGGCGCTGCCTCCGGGCAGGAGGCGCTGCGAGAAGACGTCCGCGCCGGGCGGGGCGCAGGAGGCGGAGGCCGCCCGCGCCAGCGGCTCGGGCGGCGCCGCGCCGCAGCTGTTGCAGGACCCTCGCGGGCGGAGCGGCACACACCCAGGCATGCAACGTCCAGATGGGGTCCGAGTGGATGGGGTCGAACGCTCGCGCCGTATCGGCGATACATCGCCGATGCATCGCCCATCGGCGATGCATCTGCCACGTCGGCGTCGCATCGGCGCCGTTGGCGTGCAGAAAATCGGGCTCCACATCGAGCCACATCGGCGATGCATCGGCGATGCATCGGCGATCCTCCGACCCCATCTGCTCGGACTCCATCTGGGAGACCTAGATGAAGGCAGGCGCTTTTCTTTAGAACCCCCTGAGATCCCAGCGGAGCCACTCTGTTCGAGCCGGGCGTTTTCGCTTCATCTCGGGCCACGGGGCCCTCACAGATCGATCCGGCTCGAGAAAAGACGCGGAAAGACAGAGGCCCGGAGATGCGGTCGTGATCTTCTGCGATGTTGCGATCTGTTCTGCAACGTCGGATCTCAGGGAAAGAAGACCGTCAGGCAGGTTTGCTCGCTGGCGTCTGTCCCCCCCCATCCGCCGCCGCCTTTCCAGACGGCGCTGGGCCGATCAAGGGCGTGGAAGTGGGTCCCGGCTTACGTGAAGTTCAGCTTCCTGTCGGGCCTTGCCACGCCCGCCCCCCCCTTCACTCATGCAAGTGAACCTGCCAGGGTCCAACAGAGAGCAGCCTCAACAAAAGCAGGGCGGACGCTCTTCTCCACGTTCTGCCTCTGACGGGGCCCCGGAACGGTCCATCGACGACCCGCGACAAAAAACTAGCCACAGGGACGGGGTCGGGACTTCCGAGGACCGCACCATGGAAACACGAGGCGTCGCATGCCTGGGGAGCAGCGGCGCGAGGGGGATCGGTTTTCAAAGAGGGTCCTGACACGCCTCGGGGGGGGCCGGCCTCTCAGAGGGCCCTCTCGGCCTCTGAGAGGCCCTCCTGGAGGCCTGCGGGCCCTTCAAGGAAGCCTCCTGCCTTCTGCAAGGCCCCCCCCCCGCCTCCCCGGATGGCCTCCCGCCCTCGTGCAACCCCCATGTTGCCTTAAGTCGGGCCTGTCCCCCTACAGGGGCATTTTCGACGAAAATTACAGATACCCCCAACATGATCAACAAATTATCCAAAAATAGTCGGGGGAGTATGTTTTGAGTACCTTTGACGTTTTTGGAATATTTTGGGGGCATGTTTGGCTTTGCGTCGAAAACCCCCCTGTAGGGGGACACGCCCGACATAAATCTTGCCATGAAGGAAGCGGCGGGCCCTGAGGTACACGGGTCCTGGACCCCGGGGGCCTTCGCTCGGGACCGGGGCCCCCGGGGCCCGAAAGAGGCGAACGTGTTTTTCCCGCAGGGCCGGTCAGCGGAGACAGCGGCAACGGAGATCGGGTCCCAGAGCCCTCCCGGGTCCCAAACGCACAAGCTTTTCGAGCGGCGCCTGGCCGTGGCGACGAGGGGGCCCCACGTAGGCCAACTGCACCGATCAATGTCCCAACTCGCCTTCCGGACTGGCGGGCGCCAGGATCTCAGGGTTCTGGCGGCTCTCGGGACATAACTTGGGCCTTCGGTGGCCGTTCTGGACGATCTGGGCACCCGCTGCTGAAAGCACCCCGGCACCCCGAGGCTGGAAAGCCGCCGAGAACCGGCGAGGAGGCCCGAAAACCCCGAACCTCGACAACCGTTGTCTCACCTCTCGCCTACACTGAAGGCGCTCAGGGACACAGAAATTAATAGACAGAAATCCAAAGATGTCCTGTGTTTCTCAATGTTTTCTGGAGCTTCGTCTTCCCCTTCACTTCCCATATTTCCCTACCTAGGCTCTGCCTAGAACGGTTCTTACTCGCTTGGCTTAAAGGGGCCGGGCAGTGCAAACCGCCCCGGGCGGTTCCCCCAGTCCCCTGGGAGCCAAGCGAAAGCAACGGTTCCCCCAGTTGCGCTCCCTGGGTGCCAAGCAAAAGCAAAAGCAAAAGCAAAGGCAAAAGTCAAGGCAAAAACGAAGGCAAAGCAAACATATAACATAACATAGCATAGCATAGCATAGCGCAGCATAGCATAGCTCAGCATAGCATGGCATACCATAGCATAGCCTAGCCTAGTCCAGCATAGCATAGCGCAGCATAGCATAGCATAGCATAGCATAGCATAGCAGAGCAGAGCATAGCATAGTGCAGCACAGCATCCACTATTGTTGCTGCTACAAATGAGTACTTATATGTGTGTGCGCACGTATGTTCCATGCATGTTGTCCGTGCGCAGGGAAATCAAAAGCAAAGCGAGGCAAAAGCAACAACAAAAGCAAAGCAAACGCAACAGCAAAAGCAAAAGCAAAGGCAAAGGCGAACGCAAAGGCAAGAGCAAAAGCAAAGGCAATGCAAAGCAAAAGCAGCACTCATGCGAAATTGTAGATGTAGATGTAGATGTAGGTGTAGGTGTAGATGTGGATGTAGGTGTAGATGTAGATGTAGATGTAGATGTAGGTGTAGATGTAGGTGTAGATGTAGGTGTAGATGTAGACGTAGATGTAAATGTGAGTCTCGCTGTTGATGTAGATGTAGATGTCGATGCAGGTGTAGGTGTAGATGTAGATGTAGGTGTAGATGTAGATGTAGGTCCAGATGTAGATGTAGGTGTCGATGCAGATGTAGGTGTGTATATATATAGACGTAGATGTAAAGAACTCCCCAGTGCCCCGCCCTCATCTGCGTGCCTGCTTGCTTTTGTTGCTGTCTCGGTAACTTGCTGCCTGCTTCTGCTGCTGCTTCACTTACGGCGTGGCGTCGGCGGTTCTGGCGCTACTACTACTACTACTACTACTACTACTACTACCACTACTACTATTACTACTACTACTACTACTACTACTACTACTACTACTACTACTACTACTACTACTACCACTACTACTACTACGACTACGACTACGACTACGAGACTACTACTACTACTACTACTACTGCTACTACTACTACTACTACAATTACTACTACTACTACTACTACTACTACTACTACTACTACTACTACTACTACTACTACTACTACTACTACTACTACTACTACTACTACTACTACTACTACTACTACTACTACTACTACTACTACTACTACTACTACTACTACTACTACTACTACTACTACTACTACTACTACTACTACTACTACTACTACTACTACTACGACTACTACTACTACTACTACTACTACTACTACTACTACTACTACTACTACTACTACTACTACTACTACGACTACTACGACTACTACGACTACTACGACGACTACTACTACTACTACTACTACTACTACTACTACTACTACTACTACTACTACCGCTACTACTACAACTACGGCGATGAGGAGGAGGATGAGGACCGCGTTTACCGCTCCTACTAATGTCGCTTTCCTAGAGGCTCCAACTCCTAGGTAGGGTCGCACTGGGATAAATTCCTTCATGCTCCTGGGAATCGGCGAGGATTTGTGCCTGTCTGTTTTTTGTCCCCCTCCTGATACACGCAAGGGGGGTGACCTCAGGCAAGGGTGGCCGTTGGTGCGCGGCTTTAAGGGGCCCGCGGGGGACGGAGGGGGGCGGGGAGGGCAAGTCCAGGCGCGCAGGCCAGTGCTCGTCGAACCCGCACGGGCCCGCGCCGACGGTCACTCTGGCGACGGGTCACCCTCCTTGCGCGCCGCCGGCTCTCGCCCTCCTCCTGGTGCACACGTCTGGGGGCCTCCCAGAAGGGGTCCGAGCAGAGGGGGTCGGAGGATCGCGCCGCATCGCCGATGCATCGGCGATGTGGCTTGATGTGGAGCCCGACTTTCTCCACGATGGCGTCGCCGACGTATCGCCGATCGCCGATGCATCGCCGATGCATCGGCAATGTATGGCCGATGTATCGGCGATGCGTCACGATCCTCCGACCCCATCCACTCCGACCCCATCTAGGAGGCCTAGAACGTCGGTCGGAAGAAGTAGGTAAAAGCATGAAAGATGAAGGCGGATCAAGTAGATTGGGTTCAGGCCCTCCCGCAGAGTTACACAACACAGCAAAAAAGCAGAACGACTCATGAAGCAGGGAGGCGCTAGAGGCAGATTCGGATCTGGGATCCAAAACAAAAGCGACTTTCAACGACGGGCGCGTGGGGAAACGGGCCCTGAGGGAAACGGGCCCTGAGGGAAACGGGCCCTTGCCCCAAGACGAGAGCTTCATCCCGAACCGTTCTCTGACAACCCCGGGGCCGGTGGAGGGCCCCGAGAAAGCCCGAGCGAGCGGCACAAAACCGCGCAAGACCCGCTCCCCATCGAAACCCGCTTCCTACTCGGCTACACGCAAGAGTGACCCTGGGTAAGAAGAGTGACCTTTGGTGCGTGGCTTTGGGGGGCCGCGGGGTGGCCACTGCCGCCTCGAGATCAGCAATCGGGGGGGCCCATTGGCCCGCACCAAAGGTCACTCCGGCGAAAGGTCACTCTTAAGTCGAATCGACCCATGGCGAGCTGGCGCCGCCGGCCTCGGAACTGCCGGTTGGGCTCCCCGCACGCCGCGCAGTCCCAGAGCCCGCCGCCCTCCGAGGCGGCGGGGGGCGCCGGGCCGCCAGAAGCGGCGTCCGCGGACGCCCGCGGCGGCGGCGGCAGCGCCCCGGGCGCACGTCGGAGGCTCCGCTGCCGCCCGCTGCCCTGGCAGGACGAGGCCAGCCTGGATCGCCGTTCTCGGGCCCCCGGGGGGCCGTGCCACGGGCCCCTGGGACCGTGAGGAAACGACTCGGAATGAAGAGCTGGCACGGGGGCAAGGCCCCAGGGTCCAGGACCCGTTTCCCTCAGGATCCGTTTCCGCCGTGCCAACCACAGGTCTGAGGCTCCCCCCCAAAAAGGGAAAGCCGGTTTTGAGCTATGTGCGGCCTCGGGGGGCCCTCAGCGGGGCCTGGGAACGCCCAAAGATTACTCAGGATGTAATATCGGCCGTTGCCCAGACTTTTCTGGGTTTCCACGCATTGAAAAAGTTGGAGCGCCGGATGTCTATAGGGGGGCAAATCTGCCAGGGATGCATCGGGTATCTCAGAAATCCGGCGGCCATGTATGAGGCGCCGCTGCCTTCTCAGAGCGTTCCGGCACGCCCTGACGCTCTGGAAAGACTTGTCCCTGTCCTAGCCCCGCCCGACCTGGTTCGTCTGCGTCCAGGGCTCGCCCGCCGTGCAAATGGTCGGAAGAAGAAGAAGCGGCGCAAACATAAACTTGTGGAGGTCCGCGCGGACTTCTGGGATCGGCGCTGGACGCCCCTGGCCGCGGCGCCTATGGCGCAGCCCTTGGCGCATTCCGCGTTCCAGCGAGGGGGGACCATCGCCGATCCAAGAAATCTGCGCAGAACTCCACAAAAGCTTATGTTTGTGCAGTTTTGTCTTCTCCAGGTTTGGGAGGCAACTCTTAGGAGGTCTTCGTGACGGGGCCATTTTGCCAAATTGACCCAGCTTAAGCTCACGATTACGCCAGCTTGCACCAGAAGTAGCGGCATCAAGCTGGATTAGTTCCGCGGATGTCAGAATAGGCCGGCGTCCGACCACGGATAGACGTACCAGCAACGCTGCTGACTCCCCAGCCCCCGACATCATGATCAAGGACTTCTTCATAACATCGGCACCCAGAAGTCTCGACCCTTTCCTCATGACTGGTTTTTCATCCTGAGTCGTTTTGTTGACGGTCCCGAGGCCCGGTGGGGGCCCCCAGAGCCAGAAAATCAAACGAGAACCTCCCGTCGTGACTTTTCCTTGGCTCGAAGGGGTCTTTTGGACGCCCGAAATGGGTACGGAAAAAATGGGTACAATGCCCAACAGCAAATGTTGTCCCGAACCAACAGCGGCCGCTGTTGGGCGGGCGGCGTTCTGTCTCAGATGGACACATGCCGCGGCGGCGCGGACAGCGAGTCCTGTTCAAAATGAACAGGAACTGCTGGTGGGCATTGTACCCATTCTTTCCGTACCCATCTCGTTCGTGCAGAGGTCTGGGTCTCACCCTCCAGGAGCTGCATCCCAACAATGGTGTACGTGTGGCCGCGCGCCGAGATCTCGAACGTGGCCGCGCCAGAGTGGAAGCCGGCCTCCCCGGCGAGCCCGGGGCCCCTCGGCCAGAGCAGACGCGCTCGAGAGCGGCCCCTTGGTCGGACCGCTCCCTGCCCAGCCCCCTCGGGGGCCGTGGGAAACCAAGGACGGGAAACGCCTGGCCATTTTTGGCTCCCAGGGGCCTCCTCTGCCAAGGCCCGGGACCGTCAAAAAACGGCTCGGGATGGGGGAGGAGGGGGGAGGAGGAGGAGGGGGAGGAGGGGGAGGAGGCGGAGGAGGGGGAGGAGGGTCGAGACCACCTCTGGGGGTCGACGCCCTGGAGGAATCGTGGCGTCGGGCGTCTGGGCACGTCCCGTCCCGGCCGACACCCCGAGCCGCGCCCGGCCAGAAGAGCCGCCCTCGAGAGCTCGAGGGTCCTGCGAGCGTGTGGGCGCCAACGCGTGCTGGTCCATCGACGCCCGTCACATAACGACGCAGCCGATGTCACCGCCAAGGGTCTCCAGTCTGGGTCCCCTCCCTTGATTTTCTCTCGGCGGTGAAGAGGCTGGTCCTAAAACCTCCCCCCTTCCTCCTCCTCCTCCCTCCTCCTCCTCCTTCTCCTCCTCCGCATTCCTCCTCATTCCTCCTCATTCCTCCTCATTCCTCCTCCTCCTCCTCCTCCTCATTCCTCCTCCTCCTCCTCCTCCTCCTCCTCATCCTCATTCCTCCTCCTCCTCCTTAGGAATGGCACGAGGAGTCGTAGTCGCGATCGGTGTCGTAGCTGTCTTCGTCGTTGTTGCGCGACGGGCGCCGCGGAACAAATAATAATGCGTTCCCCCTTTTTGTTGGACCCCAGTCCTTCAAGAAGGCCGCCGAAAATGTAATGAGTTAACCTCCTGATAGACTTCGGTCGGACCGGATAGGGGAAGGGTCCGCCCGGGGTACGACCCTGAAAGGTTAACGAGGGGCGACCGGATAGACTTCGGTCGGGCATGTCCTCCTACAGGCGGACTTTGCAAGAATGATGACAAATAGCCAAAAGATCGTCAAGAATAACCAGAAGAGCACGACCACTCGTCACCATACGACTCTTCTACTATTCTTGAACTTCCTCCTGTAGAGGAGACGTGCCCGACTTTCGGGTAGACACACACCAAGAGAGCCCAGAATTGAATCGACAAGTCGAATCCCCGATCGAAATGAATCGGATCGGCCGAAATCGGCAGCCAAGTCGGGAGGAGTCGAATCGGCGGAAATCGGCAGAGTAGTAAGGCCCCAGTGAGGAATCGGAATCCAGATCGGCATCCGAAGTCGAACAGGACCGGAATCGGAGTCCATCGGAATCGAAATCGAATCGAATCGGAGGAATCGAAACGAGCCCTGACGCACTCGGCTGAACATAGATGTCCTGAGGATCGTCGAAGGGCGGCCCCCAGGAAAACGCGCCCTGGCCGCGGCCCCTGGCCGCGGCCCGGCCGCGCGGCGACGAGAGCCTCCAGGCGAGCCCCGACGTCGTGCTCTTGGTGCTCGGCGCGTAGGCAAGAGTGATCTCGTCACGTGATGCAAAAGCCTCCTCCCCTCGCCTCCTCTCCCCCCCGCTCCTCCTCCTCCTTCTCCTAGCCTCCTCCTCCTCCCCCCCCTCCTCCTCCTCCTCCTCCTCCTCCTCCTCCTCCTCCTCCTCCTCCTCCTCCTCCTCCTCATTCCTCCTCCTCCTCCTCCTCCTCCACCTGAGATTCGCATCACGTGACGAATCCCGGTTGCCGAGCGCGAGGCCCTTGAGGTCTCGACCCCTTCCCCGGGACCAACTCTGCCTCGTCGTTCCTTCACGGTCCCTCGGCCCGGCCTCGCGATCTCGTCCCGACATGAGGGGGTCCGGCAAGAACTCCAGAGGGACGACGGGCGATGGAGCATGATGAGCAATAACTTTGGGGGGAGCGGCTCAGAGGCGGAGACATCGACCTGGAATCGGCGATAGATCGCCAGTTGATCGGCGACAGGCCCCCGATGTTAAATCCACACGCTACTTGGCGGAGCGGGCTACTGGGTCCCTATCGGGAATCAATGGGCGATGGGGTGGGGATGCATCTCCCCCTGAGCCTCCCCCCCCCCCAGACGCACGCCCCGAGGTAGCGCGAGGACTGCCCGCAGTTTCTTGTTGCCCTCCGAGCCCTGGACAGCGCCCCTGAGCAGAACTGCCCCCGCCCCCCCCCCACAATTGGTGGTCTCCAAACCAGGTGGTGAGCCACCCGGTGGTGACCCCGATTCCCCAAAGAAATCATTCTGGGTCACCACCGGGTTTGGGGACACGCGGTCGCCACGAGGTTTTGCGTTTCCTGGGCCAGCCAGCGCTCGAAAACCATTACCCAAATCGCCCAAAACTCACCACCGGGTGTTCTCACCACCACGTTTGGGGACCACCAACACAAGCGGCCCCCCCTGAGGGCGCGAGGGCCTCCAGCTGTTGCGACTCGCACGGGTCGTGGTCCTTCCACCCGCCGCGATCCTGCCACTGCCACCTGGCTGGCGCAGCCGCGCCCGGGTCCTGCTCGGGGCGCACGGTGCCCATGGCGCCGCGGCCCCCACGGCCCGCGCCCGCGGCCCGGGCCAGATGGCGAGGTCCGGGCGGGAGGGGCGACGAGTCACTGTGGCGCCGATGCGCCGGTAGTGGTGGCGACATCCGAGCCCCACCCCGCCAACCCTCGATTCGCCTGCGTCGATGGGAGGGAGCGAGGGAGGTTCGGACTTCGCCACGTGCTCGACGAACTCCGAACACTAACCCCCGCCGCTCATCGAGTTGCCTGGGGAGTGGATCGGCGAGGGTAGGGCTCGGATTGAGCCGCCGACAGTGCATCCCAAACGCACTCAGACAGCACCGCGGCGCGAATGGGCCGGCACACGTACGAGCGCTGTCCATCCCACGTCACCTGGCGCACTGGTGGTCCGCTTCGCTGCGGAGAGCGCCCGTTTGAAAGACGAGCGCCGCAGACTGTGTAACTTCTCTCGGGTACCGACCATCGCGACCTCGGAAAACTACCATTTAGCGGCTCTTAGTGGCCGCTAGCGGCCTGCAGCGGCCACTAGCAGCCACGAGCGGCCATTTAGCGGCCAATAGCGGCCACCATCCACTTAGCGGCCGTTTAGCGGCCAGCTAGCTGCCAATTAGCTGCACTCAGCGGCCACCGCTGGCGGCCAGTTCGTGGCCATGTGGCTACCGTCTGGTGGCCACCTGCGGCCTGCAGTGGCCACTGGCGGTGGCACCTGGTAGTCACTGGCGGCAACTGGCACCCTGTACTGACCACCACCAGCGGCCTGGCGCGTGAATGGGACAGTGGACCCCATCGGAACCACTAGCGCGCGTGCCGCTGAGTGCCGCTATCTTAAAAAAAAACGACCCTATTCAAATGCCGCTCTACACTTCACCATGCTGGCCACAGAACGGACGGGACCCTGCCGTTCGGGCGAGAGCCCCGCCTCTCGAAGAATGACGCCAGCCATTCTTGCAGCCCGAGAGGTGCTGGTACGCATGATCGTATACTTTATGCGCGCGTCGCCCGAGAGCAGCCTGCTTTGTGGACCAACACAACCCGCTTGTTTCCCATGACCCGCGCGAAAACACACCCCGAACGAACGCCCAGCTGCAACACGGAATCAGCGCCCGTCCGTGCAGTCGCGGCGCATTTTTGCGTCCTGCAGTCCAGAGTTCGACAACGTCTCAAGAGACGCCCGGGCTTGGAAAGGCACCGCCCTCCAGTCGCATATAAGGGCTTCCACCAACTTTTGAGACGGACGGGTGTGCGCCAGCGGTGAGAGCCACATGTTTACCCCCTATCCCCATCTGTGTCCCGGTTACAACACCTCTCTGACTCCGCTCTCTCTCTCTCTCTTGGAGGAGGAGGAGGAGGAAGAGGAGGAGGAGTGGGAGGACGAGGAGGAAGAGGAGGAGGAGGAGGAGGAGGAGGAGGAGGAGGAAGAGGACCTCTCTCTTTCTGCGGCCCACGTCTCAGGGAGAACGATGAGGGACTGGCTCCAACAGGGGGGCATCGACCTGGAATCGGCGATGCATCGCAGACAGATCGGGGACGGGCCCGCGATAACGAGGCTGCACGGTCCTGGGCGTGGCGGGCTACTGGGCCCCGAGCGGGGGTCATGTGCGATGGCGGGTCGATGCAACACCCACTGAGCCTATCCCCCCTCCTGGCGGTGCCCCTGGTGGACTTCGGGCCATAACTCGGCTGTCCGGCCGAATTTGGGGACGATCCCGGTATCCCTGGAACGCTCTCGGCGAGGCGCAGTTGCTGGAAGGCCGGAGCCCAGAGATACGACGCAATTACTGATTTGGTGAATGCCAAGTTCCCAAAAGCCCTGACCCTTTGCCCAGCGCGAGCTTCCCACCCCGAACGGCCGTTGGCCGTCCTGGGGCCCGGCGAGGGCACCCCCGTGGCCGAACACCCGGCAAAACCTTGGTGTGGTTCTTTTCGATGCGTGGGAGGTCTCGGGGGCGACGGCCGTCCCGGGCGTGTGCGCAGCGCCCGACGTCGCGCTCCTCGGCGACGATTCGAGGGACCATTAAGAGGCCTCCGCGATGGATTGCACCGAATCGCCGATTGTATCGGCGATGCGTCGACGATGCATCGGCGACGTCGGCGGTGCATCGGCGATGCCGACGCGGAGAAGCTCTGGCTCCACATCGAACCGCATCGTCGATGCGGCGCAATCCACCGACCCCGCCTGCCCTGATCCCGCCTGGGAGGCCCAGAGGCACCCCCCGCACGCGGACGCCGCAGAGCTTGCGAACTGCCCACCGCCCGCGCCGAATGGCCGACCTGCCAGAGCACCGCGGACGTGTCGCGAAAGGGCCTGCGGAGGTCCCCAGCCAGCCAAGGTGAACCCCCGCGGGAAGGTCCCTGCTCTGGAGAGCGAGGCCCGAATCATGCGTTACCGAAGAGCTCTGGCAACGCTCCGGACGATCTTGCTCTTTGTTCGGTTTCGTTCGTGGCTCTTCCGCCAACTGATAGCAAGGATGCTCCTCGATGGTCCTCGCCGAAGGACAACATGCACACGTCCGAGCGATGCCTGGGGGGGGGGGGGAGTGGCAGGCCTCTGGGTTTTCTCTTCCCCCAGGCGTGGCCCCCACGCGCGGCCCTCGCCCCCCCCCCCCCCCCCGAGGTGTGGCCCCCGAGCGCGGGCCTGCCTCCGTGCAGCGAGCGGGCGCCCGGGAACCAGCGGGTACGCTCGTGCCCCCACCACTCGGGCTGTCCACTGGCCATCGCTCGGGCGTCCATCCCCTGGGCTTTTTTCGGTTTCGTGCGTTTATTTTTTTGTTCGCCAAGTGATCAAGATCAAGGATGCTCCTCAAGGTTCTTCGCCGAGGAAAAAATACACACGTCAAAGCGATGACAGGTCCAAGGCACGGCGTCCAACCCCGACTGCACTGGCAAACAAGGGTCACCGCGCTATCGTCCGAATGGACAGCACCATCAGGATGACCAGCCCCATCCGCAAGAGAGCTACCGAGGCAACTGCGTGACGACCCTCGCGTTGGCTTCCGACACCGCGTGAATCGATCAACTCTGAACGGTCGGCAGCAAGCTGACAGCGCAGATCGTTCGATATCGGCCGATTCGGGGCCTCTGGCGGCGTTCAACGTTGAACGCCCGCGCTGGGGTCGTCACCGCAGTCGTAAAATCGCCACCGCCATCAATCGCCATCATACATCATACGTCGTCACTCGCACTGTCAGCAGCATGCTGCATGTCTTCTTGCCGCATTGCGATCAGGGTCCCATCGCGCGCTCCCTACGATCGCCCCGTGTGCTCTCGCCCATTCGCGGAGCAACACTGGGTCTACAGTTCTCTGTGGGACAAAACCGCACACCACAGCGAATAGGAGAGGAGAAGGAGGAGGAGAGGGAGGAGGAGGAGGAGGAGCAGAAGGGGGAGCAGAAGGTCGGAGGGGAAGGGCCCAGGACCAGAAGACGAGCAGAAGTTGCATGACCATAGATTTTCGCACGTCCGCGCGCATCTTCTGGGTCGGCGCCAGAGGCGTCGCCAGAGGGTCCCAGCGCCGCCCCAAGAGCTCTGCGCGGAGCCCGGAAGTTTCATGCGTCTGCAACTTGCCTTGGCCCATCCGACATGGGTGCGGATAACATGGATACGATGCACAACAACAAATTCGCTGTTGTGCAAGCGACCTGTCGCCTCAAAAGAACGTCGTCCCCGGTGACGCCGACAACGAATCCTGCTCAAAATGGGCAAGAGCCGCTGCTGTCCTTCGTACCCGGTAGTTCCGTGCCCGTTTCGAGCGAGCCGCCGGCCCTCGGAGCTCCCGACCCTTTCAGGGGGATCTAGTCTGCATCGCGGGCAACTGTTCGATTGTCCCGATGCCCAG